CCGTGGCCGGAGCAATGCAGGTAGCCTGTCTTGCCCCTCCATAAGCAGGAACCTAAAAAAGAGCTCCTTTGGGAGCTCTAGGAATAATTAAGCCATAATACCTGCTCTTTTCAATTTGCAGGGACTTCTGAGGTAAATCCCACTACTGCTTACAGTGCTTTTGGAGATGTGACCATATGTCAGTTAGGTAAAATTTCAAGTCCATTGAAGGGTTTTATTGAGGAAATCAAAGCAGGTGTTATAGAAATTATTTTTACAGCTAGCAATCAAGGGCTAGCAGATCAGGGACCAGTGGCTGCAAACAAAAGGTTGTATTCTTTTAAAGTTTTCTGAACATTTCATGCATTTTCTAAAACATTGTCTACTCCAGATTCTTACATCCAGTATGTGTTAAGGGTATTTCCTTTACCGTGGCAGAGACTTTTGTAAAGAGAGAATAGAAAAGGAGCAGCCTGACCAGAAAGAGTTGACTCTCATCGACATAGATATTGAATAACATTTGTTCACATTTGAAATGTTTATATCGTAATGGAAGACTTTGCTTTTGTGTTTGTCATGGGAATGTAATTTCACATTAGTTATACTCTGTTTAAAAGCCTAATCCTTATCAAATGGAAATCACCTCTCTTTTTCTTAGATGAGTAGCTAGCTGACAGGTCTGAATGATCTATCTCTTATAGAAAGACACAAAATATGAAACAAATTACTTTTTGTCATGGATGCTTGGTCTGCTTTTCTGCCTCTGAATTAGCCCCTTTCCCCCACATGGCTGTAGGTATCAAAAGTCTCTCCTTCTTATGCTGTTAAAATTTTGTAACAATTAAATTATAAAATTAATTAAATGTAGATTACTCTTTGAAAAGTAAAAGACGAAAAGGTTTTGTGAAAGGCTACAGAACTGCATATAATTTACCTCTGCAGTTGAAATGGCTGCTTTGCTTCACTGTGATTCCCCAGGGAAAATAACAATTTAAATATGTTTTGAAAAAAATCATGTAACTGTAGTAAGACAGCTTTCTACCCAATTTCTTGTGACTTTTCGGAGCTCTGTGCATATGTTCACACACATAATTATCTGATCTTGACTTACTCAACAAATGCCTTAAAAGTGTGATGTTTGTTTGTTGCACCTGAAGAACTTTGACAGACTGGTTGTTGGGCCAGTTTACGTTTGCTTCTTGCTGCAGAAATCTTCTCTTTAAGATGAATGGGATTGCTCTACAGTCATTAAGGTCTAAACCAAACAGGAATCTTATAATTAAAACTTTACATCTTTAGACCTAAACCTGCCTGTACCTACCCATATCTGCTTAATTTTAGAGTAAATTAGACATTCCCATTTAGATTAAATCAATTAAGATAGCTTTTAAAATCCAATTTAAAGCAAAGCAACTGTTTCTCTCTGGAATAGTTTTTAAGCATTTCAACCCAATTGTACTTTATCAAATTTGAATGCTTTTTCTTCTAATAAGGTTGTTGTAAGGGAGCTGGCCAAGTCCCAGGGCTGCTGTCTTTTCAATAAGCAAGGGAAGATATATTTCCCTCTAGGATTCCAGTGGTTGATAGGGAAGAAAGAGAAGTTACAGGGTCTTGACACTCGATATTGCAGCACACGGAGGGCTGTTATTACAGCGAGTAGTGTCCAGTGCTGCAGATTTTATGAAGTACATATCGTGTCATCCCACTCTACTTATAAACTTGTTAAGTAGGAAAAGCAAGAAAACTGGAACTATTCTGACAGTAATGCTGATTTCTCAGGACAGCAGTGTGAATCACTTAACATACGTGCCTCAGTTTCCCTGCATTTGCTGTGGGAATATTTTCAGTGTCACAGGGATGTTGAGAGGTTCTTACTCCATAAGACTGATAGCTTTGTGTGAAAGCCTCGGGAATACTGAAAGCTGTTCTTTAACTCTTAACTCCTTAAAGGAGTAAAAAAGGAAATCTGGCTCCGGCTTAAGAATGGCATTCAAAACATGACTATTGTGCTGATTCTTCCTCACAAATCAGTGGTGCAACATTAGGTTTTTGTTAGAAATTGTGCAGCAATCAAAGGACTGTGTATTGGGGAAGTCTGGCAGGTTGGAGAAAAGATCCAAAAAGCAGTCCTCAGTGATCTCTCACTCAGAATGACAGCGTAGGACGGAGTAAATTTAGAGGAGTATAGATTTTAGCTCTGTTGATTTATGGAAAATCTAACCTTGTTAAGTGCAGCTCTACCTGTAGCTTTTGCACAATTAGAAAAGAAATAAATCATTCCAGATTTTTCAGGCATTTTTGATTTTGAGGAAGCTGTGCGTTCCTTTCCAACTGAAGCCACCCTCAGACACAAGAAAATGTCACTTGTCAACGTTCTGTGGAGAGAAAATGGGATTGGAAGACAAGTGATCTTTGCAAAATCACACTTGGATGGCCTTCTAGCTCCTTCTAGCCTCTCTTAACTTCTTTTATATGTTCCTCTGTGTCTTCAGTTAGTAAAGTTTGTATGTTATTTAGCAGAAGGGTCTTCTGGTTCACAGTAAATTTATAGGGAAATAATCTAAATCCCAAATAGCGGCCTGTGTAGCTGGCCTGTGGTCTGAGTAATCCAATTTCATCCTTCGAGCGTGTTTTGAGAGTAATTATTAAATCTGTGCATTTATTTGTGGAGTATATAAATTCTCTTTACAGAACCTTCACTCTCCATCTTCCTCATGGGGGTAGAGTGTGTGGGAAGGTGTGACATCTACCTGAGACAAAGCCTGGTGCTCACACCCTCCTTTGTGCAAGAGAACAATGATGGTCAATCCTCTACTTTGTCTTTAGCAGAGAATGCTGCAAGACCTTTAGTACTTAAAATGATAGACTGAAAGATTGATTTTCAGCAGAGACTGTAAATGAGAAGAGAAATTAATGAACAAGAGGGATGTCAGGATAACATTTCAGCTGATAGGAGCTGCAGTGTAAGAGAGTTTTGCACTGATCATGGCAAAACTGTCCCAAAAAGCTGGGCTGGTAGGAGGGTCAAAAAGGGGAATAAAAAAGAAAAGTCTGATCCTGAGAACTATTTAAATTAATTTATCTATCCAATTAAAATAAACTCATGTGAATTACTTCATTCCACCTGCCATTTTTCTGTAATTTTTGTAATTAATTATTGTAATTAATAATTTATTTGTATGTATTTGCATATACATGTGTGTAAATGCTTAGACACGTGCACATATATAATTTTTTTATACACACATGCGCCTATGTATTACAAAATATAAGGCCACAGTTAATATTGCACCAGCTGATAAATAGCACCAGCTTGTTATCTAAATCAGATAAAATTTTAAGAGATATGGGGAAAATTCTTTGCTCCGGTGTTGGTCTGTTAAGTTTCTTCAGCTGGCTTGTTGAAAGGTGACTTAAAGCCCTTGACAGTGATTGTAATCACATGGAGTGACAGCCTTTGTGTCAGTGTTGGTGGAGATAAAGTTTATCGGTTGTATCCTACCTGGACTGGAATTTTGCATTAATGCATTAGGGATTTGGTGTTGAAAATCTCACTAGCAGTATAAATGCTGTTGTTCTTTTAATGAGAGATTCAGCGTTGCTGTTGTTTGCGACAAAAGTCATGTTGACCACACAAAATCACTGGAAAGAAGAATGTGGTTCTCAGAAAGGAAATTATTCCAAAGACTTGATTTTTCTGTTTAAGTCTATTTCTTAACATTTTCATGTTGTCTTGTGCTCACAACCTCAGAAATTGCTCCCAGTTAAGTTAATTTTGTGGCAGTCACCTGTAAGTTGTTGGAAACATCTGTTTCAACAGAAATACTTTTCCTGTGTTCTGTGTACCAGAGTTTTATTATTGAGTTTGTAATAATTTGCAATTATAACCAGTTTCAAAAGGGAATTGCTTATGGAAATCAAACAACTAATTAAAAAACTACCTGAAAGCTTTTGCACTGTGAGAGAAGTGCATGTCCTTGTCTTCTGCTCTGCTTAACACTTGCATATATATTATGAAGTATGTTCTGCTACATTAGTGTAAGAAATAGATTGCAATTTTAATTACATAAATGTTACGTGTTTAGGAGTTAGTTTTTTGTGCATTGTGTTGTGAAGTGTTTGTCCTGTATTTATGACTTATTTGCCAGTGATTTTATGGAACAGATTGCTAAAACCTAACATTGATAGAGATATTTAATTGCAGGTTTTGCTATTTTGAGGTTTTGAGTTTAAGCTTTATGGGTGTTGTGTGCTTTGGTTAAGTCAGAAAATATTTCTTTTTGTTTCGATGGCCTGATTCTCTTATCACCTGTGATTTCCTCCAAGCTGTATTTATATTGCATGGTGTGAAATTGGAAAATCTGTTCTGTGTGTGTTCTAATGGATGTGACGGTCATTAAGTATATGAGTCTTCTGACGTTGTAATCAGATGTGAATCAGTCTGTTAAATATCCATGAAGCAACATCTGCTTCACAGAGTGACCTTCTGCTAAAGAATACTTAGCATCTATTAGCAGATCATAGTGCAGATCTGCCTTATTTGAAATGCACTAAACTAGAGTAGTCTACTGCTGTTTAGCAACTAGCTTGTAATAATTTATTGCAGTTAAATAAAGCTTAAAATCTCCATTAAATAATTATAGGGATTATATGCATTTTGAAAACCTTTGTGTTCTACTGAAATTACCCATTTAATTTCAGGGTTGGTTTGTTAAAAAAAGCTGAAGTCTAAAGGCGCATTAGGGGATCTGTCAGATGCTATTTTCTGTAGGTGTTAATAAAACCAGATTAAAAAAAAAACTGAAACAAATTAAAACCAAAAGCAATTTTACCATCTGTTGTGTATTAATTAGAACTTGGTGTATCAAGGGTAAACTTGCTCTTACAGAATGTCACTGAATGTCTGCTAATAGAATAATATGCAAATATATTAGATGATAGGATTATATTGAATTTCTCATTCTGCTTTGGTTGTGCAAATGCCAAGATGTATAACGAACTTTAATTTTCTTTCTTCTTAGAGCAACCTCCAAATAACCAAGGCCAGTCGACCCTGCAGCCTTTGCCACCTTCTCACAAGCAACATTCAGCACAGCATCACCCATCCATCACCTCACTTAACAGAAACTCACTGACAAATAGGAGGAATCAGAGTCCGGCCCCGCCGGCTGCTTTGCCCGCCGAGCTGCAAACCACACCTGAGTCAGTCCAGCTGCAGGACAGCTGGGTGCTTGGCAGTAATGCACCTCTGGAAAGCAGGTAATTACTTAGGTATTACTACAGTCTGTGGCGCTGCTAGAGAAAACATTTACCTTAATGGAAGTTGACCTGCAGATAATACTTCCCCTCATTCAGCAAGCAAAACTGGAAAATTTTCAGTCCTGAAAAATATGTCCTCTCTCTCAAATCCTCAGTGACACTCTTCTCCCTTACAGTCCTATTCCAGAGTAATTAGAGTATATTAATTTTTCCAGACAAGCGTTTCCCTTCCTGTTCATAGCCTGTGACTTTTGCCTGTTTGAAGAAATTTCTTGCCTTGCTTGCCAGAAATGTGTCAAATATGTACTGTCATACAGATCAAATGTCAAATAACATTCTGTAATAGTTTTTAACTCTTGTACTTGGTACCTTTAAAGAAATACTTATGCGAAGCTAAGTGTTTTTAAAGGTACTAAGATTTGGTGAGACGAAGGAACTGAGTTTCAGTGTAATGATAAATTTGTCATTGATAACTGTCTCTAGGAAAAAAGCAGCTAATATGAAGAGTGACACTAGCTTTTTTAGATGCAGAAGAATCTATAAAAATTTTGATAGGACTTACTGGCACAGAGCTGAATTTACCTACAGTGATTAATTAGTACTCATGTAACACTCAATCAGCACTGATTTTTTATTAAGGAAAGCCATAATATTCCAATTTAGTTATTAAACTGAGCATTTATTACTATATTAAAGTTGACAGTAGTTCTTGAAAGTCTTTGTGAAATCCCTTCAGATTATGCTTTGAATCCCTTTATGTTATGTTTCATAGCAAAGTAAAGATAATTTTGTCCAATTTAAAGCATACCTGATCTTAAGATTCTCTTTTAAGTAGTTTTGGTTGCCATAGATGTTTCAGGCAACTTCTCTATTAGACAATTTGGAATGGCTGTTCCTTCTCTTAGTTTTCTTGGACTCTCCTGTGTTGTTTGAGACTGTGGAACAGCATTCCACTGAAGAGATTTCATCATCATATTCAAACAGTTGAGTGCTTTAAGAAAAACTTTTCTTATAGAACTAATAAGTTTGTACTGGGGAAGATGATGTTTGATGTTTTCCTCATAGTAGTTAATCTTAAGTAGACGGGTAAGGTCTTTGATGTCTGCTTCTATTGCCATATATGTTATTGTTGTCTTTATAAAGGTGTAGGACTACTTGAATGAGAATGCCACCTCCATTAAACTATAAGCATTTTTTTGCAGAGTAAAGTCTTTTCATCTTTTAAACATTTCTGATTAAAACCTAAGGATATTTTGAGTGTTCAAATGTTGAACACTTGTGAATGAGGTAAAATGTAAAAATTTCATGTAAGAACTGACAGAGCCCTACTACTTTGGTTTTTTCTAGTAGTCTTACTTGGTTGGAACTCTGGTGTAGAGGTGTAGAACCCATCTTATTTGTCATTGATTTTTCCCCTTTTGGTTAAGGTTCCCCCCTGAATGTGATTTTCAGGCTCAGTATCAACTGTATTAACAACGTTGTGATAGCTCTCTTCCTTCACCCTTTTCTTGGACTAAAAAAAGTTTATCCCCTCTTTGGCAATATTTTAGTTTATGTTTATTGTTGGGGCTTTTTTTCCTTCTCTCTTTTTTTTTTTAATTTTTTTTTATTTTGACTTAGATGACAACCGTTTAGAGGCAGAGAATGTGAATGTCAGCCTGTATACACAACTGTCTTTCTAGCTCTATAGGCTCCTACTGATGATGGGTGGCATAAAAATGACTTGCAGTTTGCTGCCATGTATAGCTGGGCAGTGAATTGGCTGGCTTTGTGTATGTGCATGTAGGAGAGAGGGATGCATTTGCAAAGCTTGGGGGAGATTTTAGTCCCTGTTGCTCTGCAGTAGTAGTGAAAGTGATTTCAAAAGGTATATATTCCATAATATTGGATTCTGTTGTGTTTTTAATAGGATATATGGCAATTTGGCTCTGTGCAAAGTACTGTCAACAAGAACAAATGGATTTGTGTGAAACATTGGTGTTACTGGCTAAAAAGATGTGAGGTTACAGACTGTGAGGGTAAAAACTGTGAGGTTACAGATCAATGATGTCCAACAGAAACTCCAGTTCACATTTTTTTAAATATAAAAAGACTCTTTTCTTAAATGTTTATGAGGACCTAAAACTGCAACTTGAATGAATTATGTGAATGTTTCTTTAATCTTTGATCCTGTCTTTAAATAACAATGAGATTACCGAGCAGAGGCAGGAATTGTCTTCCCTCTATTTGTGCTCAGTAGAATCTACATTAACAAAAAGACCCAAGACAACAGAAGAATATTTCCTGTAGGTTTCCTGCAGACTGCAAGACCTTTCATTGAACATTTAATGATCTTTACTATTTGACTGTTCCTAGCCATATGTAAGTTAGGTTCATTTGTAGAGCAAACAGATCTGCTGGAGGAGCCAGCAATAGAGAATAATATGAACTTCTGAAGAAATCAAAATCTTTCCATTTTCTTCTTTGAATTACTGATTGGACAGCCAGAGTCATGTAAATATATGACTACATGTCAGATGTCTGAGTATGATAAAAGATCATTTAGTAAATAAATATTAGTGGGTTTTTTATTATCACTGAGCTTTAAGTTTTCATTCAGCTACTAGTTTTAGTAATGATTTCTTGATTACCAGTATCAGTAGTAACCTTCTCATGAGTTTAAGTTCTAGTAGGACCAAAATTACTGATATTTAAAAATACATAGTAAATGACTTCTTTAAGTGCTCTCTCTGTTAAATATTTGAATGTGCAGAATTTTTCTAATGCACGGTCAATCATGAATGTTAGAGATGCACAGAGGAAAAGTATGTTAGAACTCATACATTTGTAAATAAAAATAAGCTGGTAGCATCTCTTGGTGCATTTCCTAGGAAGTATTTCATTAATTTCAATCATTGAATGTAAAAGATCAATTTATTGGTAAGAGGTAATTTACATATTCCAGTTAAGGAATAAATCTCTGAGAATATTATATAACTTTATTCAGAATCTGTGCTAACACGACAGTGAATCAAAGAGCTTGGCTTTTTTTTGCTGTATTTTCTGTAAAAAGTACCTCATTTGAAAGATGGTTGCATTTTGTATGATGGACTGTGAATTTTTTATGGAAACAAGCCAAGAAACTAACATGTTTTTCATAGTTTATACAGATACTGCTGAGTCTTCTCTTACAACTGAGTATTAATAGTAGAGTCTTAGGAACATTACTGTATTCAACTACTTAGATACTTATTTTACCAAGAAGAAAAGAAGGAATTGGTTGAAGAAATACTTGATGACGAGAAAATATTTTAATATTTTGAGGAACCTAATTAAAGTACTGGAATACCTCAGAAATCATAGAGACAAAATATTTCCTGTAATGTGCTACTTCAAAACTGTTCTGTAAACTTGATTCAAAGTTCATTTTAGAATGTCAAGACTTGAGAAACTCTAAAAGTGTGATGAACATGCACATGTGTCATTATTGAGGTGGACTGCCAGTGATCCAATTGCCTTCAATATTGATTAAGGTATGGAACAGGTGTTGATAGTTTCCAGGGAAGTTTTGAATCAATTTGTGTAGAGGCTGATTGATTGTCCACAAAAGCACAGTGTTGCTGGAGGTTAAAGTCTGCTCAAACCACCTATTTTACACACTCCACACATTAAAACAGCGCCTGGTTTAATCAAATTCAAATTGTTCTGATCTGTACGTCTGCCAGGTTTTCACACATGGACTTGATTAGAGATGTTACTTTTCAGAAGGTGCATGGTACAAAATAAAGGCAGAAACTGGGGATGGAGTTCAAGTCCTGCTCTTCTGAAGACCCTGTTAAGCACTGTGCTCACATTGCTGATCTGCAAGTTGAAGAAACAGGACTCTGCTTAGATTGCTGACAGCATGACTGCTTTTGAAAAATTGACATGCCAAAATTATGGGATCATTATATACAGACATTAGAAATTAAATATTGTTTTCAAATACTAAAGTCAAAAAAGTTCTGTTTTCTCCTGACATTCTCTTACTGTCAGGTTCTCACTGAGCATCTGTTTGAGTCCTAAAACACCAAGCCCATATGCTTATAGGCTTTCTTTGATGTCAGTAGTGTCTTACTTTAGATTTTTGCTTGATCCCTCTGGCATCTTTCCTGCTCAAATATCCCTTGCTGTCACTATAAGTATTTGGAATTTGATCATGCTGTGTATTTTGTCCCCTGGCTCTTAGGCAAGCACCAGTAGTCCAGAATTTTATATCATTTGCAGCGTTCCTTGAGTTTATCATCCCTGTTTTGAAAGGTACGCAGTCATTGAAGTAAGAATGGACCCAAGTATTTTTCCCCATGTAAATCATTCCCCATTTTAGGTAGGACAAAAGAAATAGGCAGTTCTAAACAAAATCATAGTGACTTACTTATTTTCTCCTCCTCATTTCCTCACTATTCCCTGAGAGAACCAGAGACTCTGATGCTTCTTTTGCCTCTCTTGCTGCTGTGCATTGTCATTTGCAAAACATGAGATCCCCATTCACTCTGGTAGCCAGCTCTCTGCATATTTTTCTTGCTGGCTGGCTGTGCCAGATAGCCAGCGAGAGACTGTCTTTCAATAGTCTCAGTTCAGTTTTATTACTTCATCTCTGGTCCAGTGTCATCAAGTAAACAACATCCCCCACTATGCACTGCTCAGTCCTTAGGCCTGCCTTGCCACAGGCAGCAGTCAGGAATTTTATTCAAGGACTTGCACATAAATAAGGGATCACCAAAGGGTAATGACCACCTAAAGCTAGCCTTATAACACTGTGTCTTCAGGTTACAATCCAGTATGTAGTTCAGAGGACAGCATGGAAGGCAGATAAATCCCACAGTCAGTTTTGCACAAACAAAGTTATGTGGCAGAATTAGTATATTCTTTTTTGTGGGATCATCCCGTTCTTTAATTTGAAATTGCACCTCTAATTTCATTTTTTTGTATCTTTATGTATAGAGAATTAGAAAGTCAAGCAGTCCTTGCAAATGGTCATGACAACCTTATAGAGATGGATGTGTTTTCTCCAACATATCACGATAGCAGTTATGGGTATGTGACTCTTCAGTGTTTGCATGATGCTAACTGTTGACACAGAAGACAAAGTGTGATTTTTAAAAAAATTATTGCAACAGGAAAACATCTAGAACAAACGTACTCATCCTTATGTCTGATTTTTAAAAAATTAGTCTGAATAATTTGTCATACTGACTCCTAGCAGATACAAAACCTTAAGCTTTGACTGCCAAATCTTGCTTGCTTTAAGACATTAAGAATGCAATTAACATTGTATTAATTCTCGATGGCCCAATTCTGCAGCCTGTTGCAAACTCTTTGCATGATTACACATTTACCAGGTCCGATCCTTCATTTGTAATGTATTTACTACTTGGCAAATATTTCTTTTAGAAATATTATAACATATGTTATAGGATAAAGAATAACCAATCAAAGAACTTAACAGGAGTTACATACCTAATCTCTAATATTTTTGCCAGCTAGTTTGAGATTGAAACTGCTAATAAAGATGTAACTTTAAATAGAGAATTCCACATAAATTAATACTTCAATAATTGTTTCATATCTACTTAACTTTGTCAGTAATCTGTGTCTAATTTTTGAACTATTTCTTGGCATTCTCATGCCAAATCAGTATAATTCATTTCTGTTCCACACACACAGAGAAAAAAAAAACCTGACAAAGCAGTACCACTTTTGAATTGTTAATCATAAATTTACCTTTCTCTGTTAATTTGTTTATACTCCACTAAAAATCAAAATTTTATATCCAAATTCTGTTTTGTTAATGGTAACTCCTAACTTCATAAAAGGGACAATGTGCTATTTGATTAAATGAGGAGATCTGCAGTTGCCTGCTAATTAATCTGTACTATATATTGACACAGTACATCGATCTGCTTCTCCCAAAAACTCTTAAGCTTTCACCTAGCCACAAATTAAAATCAACAGGAGGAAGAGAATTAAATTCAATTAGTCAATCATTATCAGCAAACTCAAAGATATTGCAGATATTTGCCAGAAGATCCCAATATATTGTCTTCAAAGTAAAAATGTAAGCATAGTGTATTAAAACAGAACAAAGCCAAATATTATTGTTCCCTGTAGAACAATTACCATACAATACTGGTTCAGATGCATAAATGCTGTAGTAGAGTTAATAGAACTGTGCCTGGTTTATGCTTTATATGTTTGTAATAAGATCAACAAATGTAAGCATTTTAGCAAATGGTGTATGTTATATGAAATTTCTGTTAGTTGAGACTAATTCAGGTAACAATACAATGAAATTTATCTTGTTTGTAATCCCTTCATTTTTAAAATTATGCTAGCAGGGATCATCTCCTGGTGTGAAAGTTGTCCAGAGATAATAATACATCAGTTCCAAAGCATAATAGATTTGAGACTACAACATGCTATCAGCATGAAGATTCAGTTTATCAATGTCACTAACATACTGTGTCACAGCTAGAATCATTATATATTTGTTTCTTTCTTTTCATGTCATGCATTCTGATATACTCTTTCTTAATTTGTATAGCTTATGGAGAGAATATTTATGTAATCAATTTGACAACTTTAGTGTTAAGAATGATTATAGAAATATACATTTTGCATAGAAATTCTAATGTTTTATAGGCCTAGACCTAAAGAATAGTTCTTTATTGCTTCAGGAGATGTATTCAGTGTGCATTAATTATCATAAGACAGCTGGAAGTCTCAGTGTATTTTAGTGGTATGTATTGTTGGCTTTATTATTTTCTCTGATGTACAAACATATGTTAGTGTACCTGTTGACAAATCAGCTTAGTTTGAAGTAAGAAATCTGTTTTCCTTTTACCTAACTTGGTAGTCCTCTTCCCTAAGTTACCTAGTTGTCAAAATCTGAAAATATATAAGATTCACTATTAGCAAATGACTGTATTTAAATTACTTATAGATAAAGCATGCTGGTGTTTTCTATTTCTGTATTTTTTCTATATTCTGTATTCTCTGTTTTCTATTGTCCCCAGATTTTCTGAAAATGTCATACTTTTGCAATGTTAGAAAACTTCTGTTGTATTTAAGTAGGAATTCTTTGAGAGGAGATTGATTCAGGGTTTTTGTCGTTTGTTTGGGAGAAAGTTCAGGAGAGCTGAGTTTAGGGCATGCTCTATTGTACTTAATATGTTAGAGGAGAAAATGGAAAGAGGCTGAGTACAGAAGGGGTAGGAATGGGTGTCCAAATGGGTAGATGGAGTAGTCCATAAGGAACTTAGACTGGTTGGTTAGGCAAGGTGGGAGACAGATGAAATGCTAGAGGACTAGAGGCTGAGTGTCTACGATGAAAATGGAGATAATGTCTTGTCCTTTACTGCTTGTGATTATTTGTGAAATCCTTTTGAATTGTATGCACCTCATCTCCCATGGGACTGACTCGGCATGGGAAGAAAACTTGGCTGCTGGCATATGCTCTACTAGTGACAGAGGCCAGAAATAATCAAACCATAGATTTTCTGTCTGTGATAGCCTATGCAGATGAGAAAGCTTTCAGTATGATTTCTAAAGTTTCTTCAAACTTTCTTAAACAAAATCACAAGTTAACACTTTAGTGAAAAAAGAAAAAATCATAAAGCTAGCACAAAAACCTTGCAAAGTTAAAAGCTAACTTCCTTCCGCAGTTTCTTGGCTGCAGCTGAGCTTGCCATCCCAGTAAGTGTAGGTCAAGTTGAACCAGAAGGGGATTTTAACAGATTCTGGAGATTCTTTCTGTCACATTCAAACAGGTGAGGAAACAATACCAAATGTCATGGCAAAACAAAGACCTGGACGACTGTATAGTGCCTGCATTCAGTATCTCTGATAATGCTGATTGCATGAAGAGAAGACCATCTGCAAAAAGGTGTGTGTGAAAATGAGTACCATAAAATATAAAGCATCACCCTCCTCTGGGCAAAAGGTGTAATCCTCTGCCTTTGTGAATCTGTGAATGGTGGTCTCTCAGTTCTGTGAAACTTGGCATGTTGCATATGAGAGACTATGCTCAGTCAGTCCAGACAAAATTTCAACCTTTGTTCCAACTTCTGAATTAATCCTTGGGTAAATAATGCCTTCTTAAACTATATTTCTTTTTTAAATACTCTCTGTGTGCCTTTTGAGACATTTAGAGCAATTGTTCTCTTCCAACTTTATGAGGGCAGCAAGAGTAGTAAAAAGATTGGAGGAGTAGCTGTGCTCTACATTCCTTTGATTTTCTGCTTGGAAAGTGTAATTTATTCATTATTTAAGATAGGAATTGGCTAAGGTTAGAGTGCCTCATCTCAGAGACAACTTTTCCTGACTGTCTTGTTAGCGATATGATTCCAGAAGAGCAGAGAAGATAAGGAAGTGTAATACAAATCCTTACTGCTCACATAAACATTTCAGGTCCTCACTGCAAAATTCAGATGCTTTCCTCTGCTCTCCCTTCCTTTGGAGAGAGGAGAACTGTAATAGCAGAAATATTGCATCAGAAATACTGAATTCAGTATCAGTGCAGTAAAGGGCTGCCAAGTTCACTCCCAAGTGCTGCCTTCTTCAGAAGTGAACATCAACAATATCAAGAGCCGAGTCACTCTCTGTACCATAGGTGAAAGTCTGTGTAAGTACTAGTCCTGAGAGACCCAGAGGAAGCCTGTAAGGCAACAGAACCACTTGATATTTTTCCAGCAATACACAGATCTCGTTTTACTCTTATCTGGAAAGTAAGTAGTGGGACAGTCCTGCAGTGAGCAGTATGAGTAGCTACAACTGAGCCAGGTTTCTTTCCTTGTTCACCCAGCACAAGATGTTCATTGGACTCTCTTGCTCATTTCTGCAAAGTGTGGCTTAGCTTTGTTTGTTGCCCTTGTTCATCTTCACGGAGTGCAGCATAGCAGAGGAGCACAAAGGAGTAGGCTGGGCAGAGCCATCTAATTATTCTGATTATTTTGATCCTAGATGTGCAGAAATTAACTACTCCTTCTCTGGGGTCCAGAACTAGCAGCCCAAATCTGAATTTGGAGAAACAAATAAGAGGAAAACAGGTGCCCTTTCCATCCTGTAGCACTACATTCTTTCTTGTACCACCAAGAAAGTAGGGGTGATGAAAAGGAATATGACTCTAAGCACTGAAGGAGAGGAAGTTTGGGGGTTTTGTCAGCATTCAGTCCTTCAAATCATGTCCTGGTGACTTTCACGGTGGATTAGAATTGTTCTTTGAAGCTTCAGCTGCAAGTTGCTATGCCTGACTTCTCCATTCTCTCTGCAGCAGCCAGCAGTGAAGCTGTGGCCTGCAGGAGGCAGGTGTGAAAGAGCACACAAGCAGTAAGGAAGACACTTTAACCCTAGTAGGACTTCTGTTCTTTCTCAGATGTCAGTGTTCAGTTTGCAAAGAAGGCAGGTCCTTGGTGTAAACCAAGCCAAATTCAAGCAAGTGTTGCCATATGTAAAGTGCTTTTCTGAAACATTTGAATAATCTGGTAGAAGGGGCTGATCTCCATTTCCCACAGATGTTTCCTCTGTTTTTACATATGGGTAATAGCTGGGATAATAGCAATCTACTCTTCCTTTCTTTCCCCCAAACTTTGATCATCATTTCATCTGCTGTGATCTTGAAGCTTTTTCCAGGATTGTGATAGCATTAATAGTGACTCCAAGGAAGCGGAAATTCACTTCTATTTCTTCCTAAGAAATTTCCTCTATTGCAGTTCTGCCCAGAAAATAAACTAAGACAAATTCACAGCATAACACAGTTTCTGTGCTGGCTTGGAGTTATGTTAAATGCAGCCATATGGCTCTGTGGAAGTCAGTCATAAGCCTGTGCTAAGGGCAAACACCACCAGCTACAAGGTTTCATCTCGGAAGAATGTTCAAAGAAGATGAAGACAGGCATTAAGTGTTCACAGGGAAACAAAAATCCAATTCCTTCTAGAGCCTGCTGGGAAAGCTTTTCTCATGCATCAGTGAACCAGAGTTCACATGAAACCTAGCCAGGAATTTCTGTTATCTTTTACATCTTTCCTATAATGTTAGCA